ATTAATAATTAGGTTAAGATATCTGTAATGACAATTGCATTAGCATGACTAGCAAGTCATGGGGCATCTGTGCAATGTTAAAGTTACACAGATAAATGCAAACTGACAGATCAGGCAGTGCAAACACTAGATAAGTTCTTGTAACTATATAAATCTGTTAAAATTAAGTAATAAGAAGTTCATTTAGAAAGATGCGAATAGAGAGGTAGCTGGATCTTTGATGATCTTACTGTAAAGACTAGCCTAGTGAAATAGATATCAAGGTCAAACACCTGGTCATAGTAGCAGAACAGACAAGAATCTCTGAATTGAAAGTCTTGAAAATACCACCAACTAGACTATTAGAACAAATCAGAGGAAAAAAATATTGGACCAACCTGATATACTGATAGACTGGTTATAGTTCTATACAGACTATTTAAATTGAGAGTTTGGTAAAAAGACAGAAGAAAAGGCAGAGATTTACTAAAGTACTGGGATTATGCTATAAAGTAGATGCGAAGTCTAAGTGAACTCTACAAGAGCATAGTGATTTAATGATTAGTCCTAACTGCAAGTATTAATTCTGCTATAGTAATACCTAGGTCAGCTGTAAAAATGAGTACAGAAGACTCTGGGAGGTTTACCTCAAGGAAAAATTAGTTCTAAGATCAAGTTAATGATCTGGGCATCTGGGTATGACCTAGTGAGTTAATACAGATTACAGGTTCAGAAGGTTTAAAGTAAAACACCCAAGCAGAGATGTTAGATATAACAATTGGTAGAAAACCTTTGGGCAGACTTCTTAAATAGGTAATATAAAAAAGTTAAATGTGTAGCCAATTGTACACTTTCCTGTAGTAGTTCATTAAACCACAATACTAATAAGTGATTAATAAAAGTCAAAAGACCAAAAAGGTCACAAAAAAAAAAATAAAAGAAATAAATAAAAAATAATTATATTTTTAAAATATAATAACTTAATATGTATAATTAATAAGTTATTATTTTTTAAATATAAATTAAAAGTTTGAATTTTATTAGTAATGTTTCAGAAAAATTAACATATTAATATTTAATTTTCTATTAAACAATTAAGTTAAAATATTAGTAATTTTAATTATATTATTAAGTCTAAAAGTTTAAAACATTTATATAATATTTACAAAATACAAAAAAATATAAACTAATAATAAAATTAAATACAAATCCAAAATAGAATTACTAGATATAAAAATCTAAAATACTAAAAAAATAAAACTTTATTTATAAATTCTAAATAAAAAAATAATACAAACTTATAATAATATTACTATAAAAATTAAATTCAAAAAACAAATTATATAAAACAAATAAATTAAATAACAATTTAAACTAAAAATACACTAATCAAATTACTAAGTTTTATTGTCACTAAAAAAAAATATATATACTAATTATATATATATACCAAATCAGATCACAAACCTTCTAGAAGGGTGTGGCAACCTAGTAAAGTAGTTAGGTTGTCAATCCTCCAAGTAGTAGGTTGGGTGTTCAAATCCCATCGACAGTGAAAATTTGAATAATTACTTATGTAATATTCATATTATAGCAACTGTTAGTAACGATTGAGTTAGGATACTTGTAATGGCAGTTATACCAGCATTAGAGGCCTGCATTGGGTCCCGCAGCCTGGCCCGGCCCGGCCCGGCCCGCAAATTTTTGCGGGCCGGGCCAGGCCTGAAGCAAAATTTTATAATTGCAGGCCGGGCCGGGCTGAAAAATTTGCAAAATTTTATAATTGCGGGCCAGTGCGGGCCTAAAAATTTGTAAAATTATATAAGAAATTTTTGCGGGCCGGGCCGGGTCGGGCCGGGCTGAAGAAAAAATTTGATATATGCGAGCCGGGCCGGGCCAGCAAAAAAATAGTAACCCTAAATGTGGGCCGGGCTGGGCCTAAAAAAAATTTTTAATCCTAATTGCGGGCCAGGCCGGGCCTCAAAAATAGGCAATTTGCAGGCCCCTAACCAGCATGACTGGCAGGTCATGAGACATCTGTGTAAGTATGATATTACACAGAGAAATGCAATCTGACAAATTAGGCAATGCAAACATTAGATAAGTTCTTGTAGCTATGTAAATCCATTAAAATTAGATAACAAGAAGTTCATTTGAGAAGACTCAAATAGAGAGGTAACCAGATCTTTGATGACCCTACTGTAAAGACTAGTCTTATGAAACAGATATTAAGGTCAAAATAACTGAATAGGCAAAAACCTCTAAGTGAAGGATACCACCAACCAGACTGCCAGATCAAGCCAAAAAAAAAGAATATCGGGCTGACCTGATATATCAATGAACCAGTCATAAGTTCTACTAAGCTATCTAAATTGGGAGTTTGATGAACCAGCAAGGGTATACTGAAGTATTTCAGATATGCTGTGAAGTAGATGCTAAGATTTGTGTAAACTTTACAAAGACATAGTAATTTAATGATTAACTCTGATCACAAGTGTTGGTTCTACCATAGTGATACCTAGATCAACTGTAAAAATAGATACAGAAGACTCTGAAAGATTTACCTCAAGAATAAATTAGTCCTAAGGTTAAGATGATGATCTGAGCATCTGGGATAACCCAGTAATGTTAATACAGGTTACAGATTCAAAGGATTTAAAGTAGAACATCCAAGCAGAGGTATTAGATACAGCAATTAGTAGGAAACCTTCAGGCAGACTTCTTAAATAGGTAATATAGAAAAGTTACACATGTAACCAATTGTATGCTCTCCTGTAGTGGTTTATTGAACCATAATACTGATAAGTGATTAATAAAGTCAAAAGACCAAAGAGGTCACCTTAATACCAAAAAAAAAAAAAAAAAACAAACCTTCTAGATTGAAGTTTAAAAAAACCTGTAAGCAAGATATTAAAATAAATTTGACTCAAAAGTAAAATAACTAAATCAATATAATGAGTTTAATCAACATGATAGTATAAATGTAAAGAGTTTAAATAGGTAATCCTCTAGTTAGGTTATAAGTATTACAACTAATATAAACCTGTAAATAAACTACTTTCAAAAGTTGTACATGTGACTAGTATTCTCAAAACATATAAACCCACTGTAGTAAAGTGCAAGTAACAGAATTTGAATTAATAAGGCGTACGGCCAAGAGTACCACCTTAACAATAAAAAAACAAAAAGTAATCGTGTTTACATACACGAATAACTCGAATAAAATCATAAACTTGTTATACAATACTTGTATCTTCACATACATTTAGCCGCTTGCCTCTTTCAGAACTGCGAATCACAACGATTCACCCATATTTTACTAAAGCTTAAACACAGCATTGTTATTAAATCGTCTAACATGTCCGTTGCTAAAATAAATTAGTAATACATCTTTTTAGATATCGACGACTTATTACTTGTGAATTTACATGACAATAGAATTTAAGGTTAGGGCGTTTGCTTAAGGGACATAAGAACAACAATGACCCGATATTTTTAATCGATGCATCAAGATCGTCGTCTTTTTTTCCTTCTTTGCATGTGTTCGGATTCTGATTAGGGCATGCCCAACGCCCAGATAGCTTATAGGCATGCAATTGCATAGAAAGACATTCACATGGTTGGTTAATTTTTGTAGATCTACCCGTGATTTACCATAATAATTAGCCAATCAGATTACATAATTTAATCTAACGAATTCCATACTACATAATATATATTATTTTTTATTGATTATTATTTACGTATTATTACTGCCTTTGTTAGAGACACTACTACGTACCTTTAAAATATATTATCAATCAGGCAATATCCTACTTAATAAATTTTTCTAGTTGTTACTCGCATTTGTACCCGTCAAAGAAAAACTTAATATAAAATCTTAAATAATCTTATTTTTTAGTTATTACAGCCGTTGCACTACTATTTTTGATCGATATTATTAATACTACACGTTTCTATCTATAAATCTACTAAATACTAAGTAATATAAATAAGTATTAGAATTATTAAATGAAGTAATTTAAACTTAAATACAATAAGCTAACAGATTGTAAAAGTTTTTTTTTAAATCTAAATTTACCTTAAACGTCTTGATCGTTCTTTTTATTTGACTATTTTTTCGCATTTAGTACTTGTATATAATATAGATAGTAATAGTAATAAATAACGACATACTTGCTTCTAAGTGAAGTTCTTAAGAATGTTGATTATTTTGCACAATAAATTCGTATAAGCGTTCTTTCGAAGCTAGAAATGGTCTTTTTTATTAGTGAACCGTTACATTCTCAAAAAGTACTTTAACCTGTATAAATAAGTTACCCAGGTAATTGATTTACGTCAGCCAATCATATGCCATTTATATATAAGAGCAAAGTTTCGAAATATTCCCAAAAGAACTGACCAATCTAAGTTGAGTAAATCTATCACATGGTTTGATGGCATGCACGAACTTGGCACGCAAGATTTTTTAGCCATACCATTTACCCTAGTTATCAATAAGTAAGCTCATCGAAAGAAGTCCCTCCGATTGCTGTGTTAATTAATCGTCTAGGAGTGAAGGTAACCGGAAATATTTTTCGTTTAATTTATTACATTAAATTAAACAAACTTTTATTGATAGATATTTAAAGATACGGGTTTAATATTTAAATTTGGACAGTTTTTATAATGTGTTTGTCAATCGTAAATTAAATACTTTAAATAAATACCACATTTCCCAACCTTACACGTATCTATCTATTCTCTAAATATATGTGATAAATTCTTCGTATGAAGTTTTTCTAATACAGTAATAGTATTAAACCAAATCTTTAGTTAAAATTCCGTTATCGGCTTTACCTAGTCTTATATTGACATGAACAGATTTTTCAACAGAAAATCTTTTATAGTGTTACCCGAACCAGTATTACATTAGGTTACGCTACATAAGCTATGTTAATCATTACTGCATTATAAATATTTCATTTCATCCCTTTTTCTGATTCAAACGTTAATTCTTTGGAAATATTTTATTTTTTATCATGTCCACCAAAACTACTCCAATACCCGTTTCTTCATTCTTACGAACTGCCCTAGAATCCATTAATTCTCCGCGATTAACACATGTTAAAAATTTTATATTCATTTTAGTAGTATATCGCTATGTAAGAATTCTTTTAAACAAGCTTGCAGTTCAAGGCGTTCGCCGTACCCTTGGTGACATTTATAAGGTTATTGGTGGCACCATATTGAAGATCGTAATGAATGCTCCAGTTACAAATAAAATGATTCGAGCCGATATAAATAAAACCATTAAGGAGATTGAAGAAAAAATTGCTCCAAAAGAAGGATTACCACGTTATCTTTCCCTACCCGATGTTGGATTTGATGATCAACAACTTAGAGAAGAATTAAAAAGGTTTGTTCTTTTAAGATAGACAATTTATTCTATTCTACTTTGACTATATTCATATGTATTTGTTCTGCCGTGTTTCATTTTAATGGAAATTTTTAAATCAATATAGATCAACAACAATTCTTATATTACAGATATCAAGACATGGGAAGTGTGAATTGGGAAGAGGGTCGTGTGTCTGGCACTGTCTATAATGGAAACCGTGAACTTTCGAAGCTGACATCTGAAGCATATGCCATGTTTTCTACAAGCAACCCATTGCATCCTGACGTATTTCCCGGAATACGTAAGATGGATGCGGAAATTGTTTCTATGGTGTTAGACTTATATAATGCCCCAAAAGATGAGGCAGGTGGCACTACTACTTCTGGTGGTACTGAAAGTATAATTATGGCATGCAAAGCTTATCGAGATTGGGCAAGATGCGAAAAAGGAATAACAGAACCGGAAATGTAGGTTTTTTTGACGATAATATCTTTCATAATTACTTTATCGTGATTATTTAGTATGGATAAATATTAGGATTGTACCGGATACCATTCATGCAGCCTTTGATAAAGCTTCAAGTTATTTAAACATCAAAATGATTCATGTTCCAATTGACCCAGTCACATTAAGAGCTGATACTAAAGCCGTGAACAGTGCAATCAACAAAAACACAATCATGGTAGGAATAATGGATAATAAATTATAAGTTTAATAATAAATTTAACATAACTATAGATTGCAGGGTCCGCACCAAACTATCCTCACGGTATTATTGATGATATTCCTACTTTAGCAGGAATTGCTGATAAATACAATATTGGAATGCACGTTGATTGTTGTTTGGGCAGTTTCTTAGTACCATTTTTAGAGGAAGCAGGATTTCCTGCCCAACCTTTTGATTTCAGAATAAAAGGTGTTACTTCAATTTCATGCGATACACATAAGGTATGAAGCTAATATTTTATAAATATATATAATTCGCAACCTAATGAAAACGAACGTTCATTTTATTCATTTTGCTTGTATTCTGTTATTAAATTTAATAGTATGGATTTGCGCCGAAAGGTTCATCTGTAATTATGTATCGTACGAAGGCTTTGCGCAGATATCAGTATTTCTTTGCACCTGATTGGACGGGCGGAATTTATGCTTCACCTTCACTGGCGGGTTCACGGTACCATATTTATCTATTTATTTCAAATTTCGTAATCTAATTTCATTCTTGTTCCATCAGTGTTTACGTCGTTTTTTTGTTTCTCTGACTATATAGTTCTGGTGCAATCCTTGCTGCTTGTTGGGCAGCTATGATGAGGATGGGTAAAAACGGATATATCGAATCAACAAGGAAAATAGTGGGATGTGCAAAAAAGATTGAAGAGGGGTATATATTTCAATATATTTCTATGTAACTGATAACTCAAAGTTACTAAATTAACATCTCTTTCTTCAGTATCCGTAAAATAGATGATTTATTTGTTTATGGCAAGCCACTAGTATCAGTAGTAGCATTTGGTTCAAATACTCTCAACATTTATGATATAAATGATAAAATGTCGAAAAAAGGATGGAACCTCAATGCATTACAAAATCCACCAGCGGTTCACATCGCATGTACGATGTTAACAGTACCAAACGCTGATCAATTTGTAAAGGATTTGAGGGATAGTGTCAATGAGATTAAATTAAATAAATTCAAACCAGAAAGATCGACTGGTGACAGTGCAGCTATTTATGGATTAGCTGCTACTCTACCTGATAAAGGCATTGTTAATGATATCGCTGGTGGATTTTTGGATGCATTATACTCTGCTTAGGTCGTATTAAATATGAATTTATGATACAATGACATTTTAACCTTAAATAATAGATATCCATGCAATACTTATTTTTAAAATTTTACTTAATAAATAAAAAAGTATTATTATGTTGAGTAAATCTGAAATATGACAGTATATTAGAAACCTATAATGAAATATTAATATTAATGTTTCCTGTTCTATTTTAATTAAACAGTATCAAACAAAAAATAATGTCATGTTTGATGATAGAGACTCACAACAATCACAATCAATCGGGCATAACGGTGTATCTATAAATTCAAAAAAAAGGGTTGACGTTCGGAAGTATGAAATAAAAGATAATTATCTAAGTAATCTGTGTCATTGATATCATACCTCCACCATTACCAATATTTAGCTCCTTAATATCATAGATAGCAAATCCATCTTCCGTTGTCTTTCCTTTTTGTATCGATAGTATATCATTTTTAGTACTTAAAGTTGTTCTATTAATATGATAACAATAGGATACATACGGCTTTTTGTGCCCCTCGAGTCGCTAAATCCATCAATATCATTCTCTCGTAGTTTTTTATTTTTTGATTTATCAGGTATAGCTGGAACTTTGAACACAAATTCTTCCGTCGTCGTGTTTGTTGTTGAAGAGGTGCTTAAAGATGAAGGAATGATTTTTAAATCGTTTTCTTGCAATTTCCTTTTCCTCGATTTACCTGGTATAGCTGGAACCTTGAATTCAAATTCTTTATCATTCAAAGGGTTTCCTTTTTCTTTTATTGAAGAATCAACAACGGTTGATGATGTCAAATCCTCCATTAAAGATGTGGATGAAGTTGTAGGAATAATTGCTTTATTTCTCGCCTTTGAAAATATTTCATCAATCTCATCTTTTATTTTAACATCTCTTTCGTTTAGTGATTTAATAGATGGATTTAAATCATCTTTGTTCGTTAACTTCTTTGAAGCTTTTTTATGACTAGTTGTAGTATTATCATCATTTGTTATTTTTTTCTTGGAAGAATTCATTTCGTGAGATGTAAAAAAAAATCTGCATCATTAATCGGGATGTGTTGTCACGTGATGAGACCATCATTTGGGTCACTGCGTAACCTGGATTTTTGAACGAATTTTGATAATTTATTGAACCAAGTTTTGTTAGATAATATTTTATAACAACTTGCTACAATTCTCGTTCAAAGCTTTCAAAAATCTATTATCATAACTATTAAAATTGATTGAGCATCGATATTTCAATCTAAGAAATTTGGCCCGAATACTCATAACGTTACGCAGTAACACATATGACAGACATTCAAACTCTCGAAAGTCAAAATCCTGAAACTTAACTGCTTCTCTTACTACCTCATTTATGATTACTTCAAGTTATATTCTCAATCAAATTCGGACCTTAATTAATTCTAGTAAGTCTTTTTTACACAACCTATTGGTTATTTTTCCAAGCAAGTATTTTACAAATCAGATATAAAGATGTAGGTACTACTTAGAAAGTATCAAATGTTAGTACTGTCTTTTTGTCTTAAGGACTTACATGTACAATCTTTATATAACCAAGATTTTCTGCAATATTATTATTACATATAGTACCTACTTTTTACAATTAAGTTTTCTTTTAGGAATTTTCTTAATGAAATTTATATATATATTTAGATTTGTTTTATAGAATTTTACATTCAATTATTTGGTTTTCTAAGATTACAAAAACAAAATCTAGTTTTTATTTCTAGTCTGTTACAAATCATTGATTTTATTTGTAAAAACTTAGAAGTTTAATCATTAAGTTATCTTTTAAACTATTTTCTAAACAAATTTGTTTGGATTTTTAAATTAGATTTAGTATTTTTTAAATAATACAATAAATTATTAATAATATGGGGTACAGTTTACTTATAAAAGATTTTATTGAAAATATACTTTACAAACTTTATTAGAAATTTTTTTTAAAATTAATAAGAAACTTTTGAGTAATAAAAATTAAAAGATTTTAGTTAAAAATTTTTATTATAAAAAATTTCTTTAAACTTTTCAAGATTTTATATGTTTTTGAAGCTAAAAAAAATTCTATTTTTAATATAAGTATAAATTTTTACAAGTAAATTAAAAAAATTGTATTAATAAAAATTGTTATCCTTTATATAAGTTATAATATTATATTAAAAATTATAAGTTTAAATTAATATTTAAAGAGTTTGTCAAAAATTAGTAAATATTTTTTTTGATTAAAATTTTTTTTTAAATTTGTCTATTCATAGCTTATAAGTAATTTAAACTTTTTTTTATATAATATAAAATTAAATATTATTAAATAAAATTTTATTTAAATATTTTAAAATTTAAAAAATATAGATCATAAGTATCTTTTTAATTTTTTAGACAAATTTGTCTAAAAATGATTTACAGTTTAAGGAATAGAATTTAGATTTTTTATTTTATTTTTTTTTAAAAAAATTTATTTAGTCTTTTTGAAATTAAAAATTTTTTATTTAAATATTAAAATATAGTAATTTTAAGAAATTTTTTTTTAAATATTAAAGTAAGTACTTGTAATTTAGGATTTTATTGATAGTACATTTAGTTAATAGTTACTTTATTTTTATTATTATTTTTTTTTTAACTTTGGTGATAATAGTAATTGGTTTATTAGCTTTAATTTAATATAATACAGATTTATGGTTATATTTTTAAGATTAATTATTACTAATACTATATACTATCTAATTTTTACACTACTGACTTCACCTAGTTACCCTTATGGTACCTAAGCATATATCTGTTACATGCCTGAATGCAGTTACCTTGACAACCACTTGTGATTATAACATACATTAAACTACTACACAGACAAGAATACTTACCAAACTTAATGCAGCATTCCAAATGCCAAGGATACTGTCTTCTGTAAATTATACTCATATGTCTTACTCACATGTTTTATCTGGTCTTGTTTCTTCTGCCTCCTAATCTAACTATATCTAGTATTACCTTGTTCTTCATATTTTTCATTTTTTCATTACTGTACCACTTCCAAATTGGTCCTACTCAGGTATGTCTGATCCTTATGATCTTTTCATCTTTGGTATGTCTGTTATTATTTTCTCTAAGGTGTTCTGATAATGGTTTAGGATCTGCAATGAACCCATATCTCAAGCCAGATCTGCTGTTGCTATTAGTCTTTTGATCAATCTATATCTCAAGCCAAATCTGCTATTATCATTCTTGCAGATGCCTTAGATCTTAGCATCATACAGTAACTTGATGTTGCATTTAACTTCCAACATGATGCTTCTTTTTATAGTAAAGACTGAGACTTGTTGTACTTACAAACAAGACAATTCTAATTATATCTAGAGAGTTTCTTCAATCCTGGTGATACCATATTACTATATATTGCAAACTCCTAGCTTATTCAACAATATCTGTAAGACAATTCTAGTTATGTTCAGAAAGTTACACTAACCTCAATAATACTATACTACCTTGCAGATCTTATCTTATATTAGTTGGTTGATTCCTAGTCTTGTTTATTATAGACTTCTATATAGGTACGAACAGAACCTAATTTGGTACTTTCATATTGTACAAGGAAGTTATACACCTATCTTTAAGATCTTTCTTTCTATAATTAGATTATTCAGTTGTGCCAGAGATGCTTCTAATTTTTGGTTAGACTAATCCTTTATCACAGTCTGTTCTTATATTCACTACTTCTCTTATTATTTCTGTCTTGGTTACTTTTAGACTACTCTCCTAATCAAATCCTCTTCTTGGATTCCAATTAAGACTTATTTGTACAATCTATTGATTATTCTTCCAAGCAAGTACTCTATAAGTTGGGTGCAGTGATGTTGATACTGCCTATATTAGAAGGTATAATGATATTGGTATTGCCTAGTCTAAAGAACTTACATGCGCAATCTTTCTATAACTGTAACCTTCTGTAATAATCACTTATTATGTATAGTGCTTTTACTTTATGATTAAGTTTTCTTCTGTGAATTTCTACTTTCATTATTGTACTGTACTTGGACTTCAACCACAGAGTTTTGCATTTAATTACAGGCTTCTTATTAGATTACAGAAATTAAAATTTTTCAATTTTTCCTCTAGCCAGACTTGAACTATTGATCTTGACTGTGGAGGGTATAGGAGCTTAACTGCTAAGCTATGTGACCCACACTTCATAGTTGCATTATAACTATAAAAAGAAACTATAAAAAAAGTATACAACTAGTTATTTGTATAACTTTAATTATTGTTCAATTTAAATAGTTTGCTCAAAGATTTTATACTAGCTATTATATCTGAAACCTACTTGTAAGCTTTTTATTTTTTTTTTTGGTATTAAGATAAGGCCTTGCTCATATCTTTATTAGTAATTTTAGTTGTACATATGAATATACTATATACTAAGATATACTAAGATTGTAAACTACAAAATAAAAACTACATGCAAGAATTAAAGCTCAAATAGTTTTATCTGTAACCTAAACTAACTATAGTGGTCAAGGCTCATTTAGATTTGTAATATTAAAATGTGGTTATAAGATATACTATGATTAATCCAGAGTGTTGATCATATATTAATTTTTCTAATAGTTTGTCCAATTGGTAAACAGATATTAGGATATAAATATAATTAATCTGCTATTCCACATAAATATAAATATATGTAGTTTATATATGATCTTTTGTGATATCTAATTTGCTATATTTGTTGAGAGATATAATTATTATTAGAGCTTAGAAGAGACATAATAATAATATTTTTTTCTAGTTAGAAAAATCAATACAATATGATTTCCATATTTGATTATAGATTTGGTCATTAATGTTAAGAAATATTTGAATAATAATTTGTAAGCCTTTTTAATAGGTATGTTGTAATTATAAATTATTTTAATTAGAGTTTTAGATATAAGGCCTTTAAGAATAAGATCAAGATAAAAAGAGTTTGCTTGAAATGGTATTCAGTTAAATGAAGGATAGCTTTGAATTTGCAACTAAGTTCATATAGTTAACTAGTAGATAAGTTAAGATCTGTTTTAGATAAAATGTACTAAATTGATAAGTTAATAATATTTATAATAAGAGATGAATTAAAACATATTAACTGGGTGTAGCGATCTAGTGAAGTGGTCAGGTTGTCAACTCTCCAAGTGGTAGATTGGATGTTCAAATCCCATCGATGATGAAAATTTGGATAATTACCTATGCAATATTCATAATATGACAACTGTTACTAATATTTGGGTTAGGATACCTGTAATAGTGGTCGCATCAACATGACTGGTAGGTCATGGAGCATTCGTGTAACAGGTCACATGACTTTGTCCTTTGGGACAAGGTTGTGGTTACATGAAAGAATGCAAACTAGCAATAGGCAATGCAAACACTAAATAAGTCCTTGTGGCTATGTAAATCTGTTGAAATTGGGTAACAAGAAGTCTATTTGGGAAGACCCGAGTAGAGAGATAGCCAGATCTTCAACAGCCCTACTGTAAAGGCTAGCCTTATGAAACGGATACCAAGGTCGAAGTAGCCGAACAGGTAAAAACCTCTAGGTGGAGGGTACTACCAACCAGACTGCCAGATCAAGCTAAAGAAAAAGAATATTAGGCTGACCTGATATACCAATAGACTGGTTGTAAGTTCTATCAGGCTATCTGGATTGGGAGTTTGATGAACCGGCAGGGGTATACTAAAGTATTTCGAATATACTGTGAAGTAGATGTTAGAGTTTGTGTGAACTCTACAAGGGCATAGCGGTTTAATGGTCAGCCCTGACCACAAGTGTTGGTTCTGCTATAACGATACCTAGGTCAGTTGTAAAAATGGGTACAGAAGGCTCTGGAGGGTTTACCTTAAGAATAAATTAGTCCTAAAGTTGAGGACGATGATCTGGTACATCTGAGATGACCAGTGATATTAACACAAGTTACAGGTTCAGAGGGTTTAAAGTAGAACACCCAAGCA